TTTGCTCTTCTCCCAGTTGACCCGAAGGCCCAGACGGGCTACATGGCGGAGCACCAAGTCCCTGTGTTCGCAAAGCTGATCTCGAGAGTGAGCTAGAATTAGCCAGTCGTCAAGGTAATTCAGAATGCGAACCCCGTGTTCCCGGAGGGGAACAAGGGCTGCCTCGACGACCTTCGTGAAGACGCGAGGAGACAGGGCTAGCCCGAATGGGAGAACTGCGTACTGATATGCCTGCCCCTCGAAAGCAAACCGCAGGAACGGTCTGTGTCGAGGGAGAATGGAGACATGAAAGTAGGCGTCCTTCAGGTCGATCGCTGCAAACCAATCCTGGTGCCGCACACATTCGAAGACGCGTTTGGCGGTGAGCATCTTGAACGGCAGCCTGTGAAGGGAGCGGTTCTGAACGCGCAGGTCCAGGATTGGCCGTAACCCACCGGTTTTCTTCGGGACAATGAAGTACGGGCTGTAGAAGCCGGTCCTCATTTCGGCTGGAGGGACAGTCTCGATCGCACCCTTCGCCAGCAGGGTGGCAACCTCCCCTCTCATGATAGGGGCATTGCCACCGACCATAGTGGAGCGGACTCCCCTGAAGCGGGGAGGAGACCGCGCGAACTGAATCGCGTAGCTGAGCCTGATCGTTCGTGCGACCCAGCGGGACAGGTTGGGAAGCTCTAGCCAGGCTCCCAAGGACTGTACCAGCGGGGTCACGTGAACCACAGACTTCCCGTCGGTGGAGCAGCGAGGCGGTATGGCTGACCCAGACGTGGACGGCATAGCGGCCCGGTGTGAGGGTACAGTCATAGACCGTAGAGTCCTGACAGAGGAGACCAGGGAAGGACGAACGTTCCACGGGGGTCTGCTCTGCCAGGGGTCTGGCGACAGAGGAGGATGAGAGCGGCACGGTCCGGGGACGGCGCGCACTGTCATCCGGCTCTGGGACAGAGGAGGACGAGGGGTGCACGGCCCGGGGGCGGCGCACCGTGTCGTCCGAGAACTCTGTGTGCTTAGAGATGGGAAGTCAGCTCTCTGGAAAAAAGAGGTTCTCCCCCGGCCCTCCACCGGGGAAAGGAGTGGCCCTGCAACCACCTCCTGGAGAACTGCAACCCATCTCTGAGCTGCCCGTAACGGAGCGCCGCTTTGCCTGGCATTTGGCAGGCTGCGGGGCTGGTACGGGCTGGGGAGCTTTCCTGCGACCACCTCCACGGCGCGGCCCGGAGCTGCTGGGGCCGGGCGGGAGGGGGCGAAAGTCGCAGGAGGGCGCGTTCGGCGGCAAGCTGACTGAGGCGTCTGAGCCGGCGGCAGCAGCTGGCCACGGGGTCAGAACGTGTTTGGTAGCCTCAGTCTGCTTCTGGGCGGCCGAGAACTGTTGGGCAGAGTCCTCGACCGCGCCGCCGAAAAGGTCAGCCTGGGATATGGGGGAGTTGAGGAAGCGGGTTCACTCAGCCTCGCGCATATCAACCAGGTTAACCCAGAAATGTCTGACCACACAGGTGGACATCACCTGACACAGGGAGCGTGCGGTCACCTTCGTCACTCGTAGAGCGAGGTCGGTGGCGGCAGGCAGTCTCTTAGATGAGCCCTGAATCAGCCCTACCCTCGTGCATGTCATTGAGCACCCCGAAGGATGGCAATAACATGCAGTGAGACGGCAGCCTGTCCGCTGCTCTGTGGGTCTTTGCCACCGGAGTAGACAAAAAACCTACAGGCATTGGAGGGGTGCTTAGGGTCGCCACGCCAGGTGGAGGCGCTGTGGGGGCACAGATGTGCTGCCACAGAACACTCCACGGGGGGAACCCCAGTGTACCCATGGCCGCGGCCTCTACGAGGGCAGAGAAGGTGGAAGAGGCTGCTGAGCAGTCGCAAAAGTCAAAGGAGACTCTCACGATCTCATAACCTCTTTATGCCCATCCGGGTAGAAAGGATTTGGGTTCGCCTCCCCAAAACCAATCATCAGCCTTGAGTGCTCGAGACATGGCAGAGTGATCCACACATGCCCGATACTCGCGGCGGCCCGGGAAGCATAGCTGTCAACTCTGGATCAGACTCGCTATGTTGCACACCCGAGAGTGGCAACATAGACGAGCCCTCACTTCCAAAGGACTCCAGCTCACCTTGTGACGCGGCGATAGACATGATTTCATCAGCCGGGGAACTGAATGAGATGCCGGCCCAGCTGACCAGCTAATTCATTCAGAACCGCGCGGGTTGCAATGTTAAAGAGAGGGGTGTGGACCACGGATATTAATCGGCGGTTTAGTTCCACACCAGCCATCTCAGGTCACCCTGGCCACCAGCCAAAGTATTCTCTCACGTGGAGATAATAGATCGGGGTGTGGATGAGGGGACTCTCACTCGGTTGAGCTCATTGAGTCTTGACCGTCATTGCGATGGTCATGTTCCCCGTAGAGAACGTGACACATCCGCGAACGCTGCTCGAACGTGATCGAAGCCCAAACACGTCAAAACAGCGCTCGTGCCCATCAGCTGAATCTATCAGACTACCGCACTCAGAAATACACGGGCAGATCGTCTTTAGAAAGACGCGCCGCGTGCACGCTCTTTTTGTGAGATAAAAGCTTGCAGCAGTGCTGAAGCGCCCAGGAAGAAGCACACACGCTATTCAAATCAGCAGGCAGGAATGTGAAACTCGCTGGAACACGCCATCACACCAACACCGACTGGAAGCTGCTCGTCTTGAAGATTCTCGAAGATAGTCAGAGAATAGACTGCAGGAGTGAAGAGAACATCTTGGCTCCGAAGCAAAAACATATCTGCATATTGCCGGCTTTCTCCTTTTATTCCCACGAGGTGGGGCGGAGTTGCGCCATGCAAATTCCGCAGACCCATGGCATTTGCTTGCCATTGGCTCGTTTTGTATACTCGAAGTCGATAGGCTTTCTAAGCGAAACCCCATTCGTCGTCATCCGACGGAACTCGGAGTGACAACGAAAGGGAACTGCTAGATCTGCTTATTTTTCTCCTCGCTTAGAAGAAAACAAATGCAACCCTAGGTATCTATTTGATACAGTGGCTAAATTAACGAGAAATAAAAAAAAAATCCATCTTAAATCACTGCTTCTGCAATGGTGAGAAAGGAGACTGGGATCTGCTCTGGTCTGAAGCCAACAAACATTTCTGATTGTTACATATGATTTAATTCAATAATATTCTGGCCATTTCAGCAAATAACCCCAAACCATCAAAGATTACAATGCCTACGGTTGAATCTCAAGAGAAAACATTTGAATATTAAAGAAACTATTAAGATATTTTTAAATTGTGACATTTTCATGACAATTAAAGCACATCCCCCCTCCAGCTATTTGACTGTTTTACTTTGTTATTCTCATTAGTCACGAGTTAAATGTGTTTAATTGTCATGAAAATGTCACAATGCAAAAAAAACCTATACAAATATGCTTCACATTCCCCCTCCAGCTGTTTGACTATTTTGCCTTGTTATTCTCATTAGTTTTAAGTTACACAAATTTGAAATTAAATCAGCATAAATCAAAGGCAATAACCATGATATATTATTTATTTAAATTGTAGAATACTTACATTTCTAAACATAAATTTAGCTTCGTGGATTATGATAATGAGTGTAATACATTTAATAGTCATTAAAATGTCACAAAGCAAAAAACTAAAACTTAATTGTCCTTCTAAAAATAGGCTTCTTGTTCTTCACTGAAGGTTTTTAGGGTGAAGATGAACATGTTCTTGAAAGGATTCAGGAGATTCACCTCTATACACACAGAAAAACAATGATTCCCATCAGAGAAGATGGGAAACTAGTTTAATGTCCATCAGATCCAGAGCGAACCCACAATCCCTTTCTACTCAATCCGGTTTCATCTGTGGTCTGTATGGGTACATATTGATACAAAGCCACTGTAACGTCATAACCAATCACCTGAACATGCACACCAGCATACTGTCACATTTGTCAGAGAACTCATGAAAAGAAGGCTTAAAAATCTAAAGTGCCAGCACAAATAAATGTACATCAAAATTTGGAAAACACGGGGGGAAATCCATGAGAACTGAGCCGGAGAATCGAACCATCATGTGCACGAGACTGTACATCAGGGTCGAGATCCTTCGCTCACCAATACTGAAGTATGATGCGCTTTTGACTGTTGATTGTGATGGATTGTCAATACATTCTCCTTTCCTCTTTAAAACTACATTGAAGTTCAAGGCCAACAATAATATGAAATGTGTATAGGACAAAAATAATCTGTAACGGCAATAATTACATACATAAAGCCATCACCAAGGAAAACATCACGAATGTATGTACAAAGGAGCTAATCTAGTTAAACCAGGTCAATCTGAAAATAACACTTTAGATCACAGATCTTTCATGGCAGTGAGAAGAAATTCTTTTATGTATAGCAAAATTCACAAAATGCCCCGCACTCGGAATATTCAAAATACATATCAGAAGTGTGTTTTGTTTTTTTTTGTTAAAAAAAGGTGGTGACATCAATAAAATATTGCTTTGCCGTGGTGTTAAGTTTAGTTGAGAATTAACAGTGAAGATTTCACTAGAAAACTAAAGTGTGAATCAAACAGATCCAGGATCAGGATCTTGTAATAAATGCAGATGTCTAACCGTACATGCTCACGAAACGCTGTGGACCGCGACTAAACACTGAACTGATACTCATCAAGAAGTCAAATCTGTATCCTTCACATTAGCCAATCAATCATAAACAAAAAAAAAAAAATCTTATAAAAAGTTATGACAGTATCTTTTAGCAAAATAAACTTTTGAAATCTTTGTTGTAAATTCAATATCAAGACCAAAATTTAAGAAAATGACTGCATTTCACTTCACTTCGGCCTCATTACGTGGTTCAAAAAGAAAAAGAAAACAACAAAAACAAAAATTTAATTAGGTCAATGTTTTCAAACAATCACAGGCACCATTTTTCCATTTACCACAAAACATCATTCATTAGGGATTCAATGTGACATTAGTTGGACTCCGATTGTTTGTGTGAAGAAATGAAGGAAGACTTTACTTAATGCAAGATGCAGATAAACATTAAGAGAGAAACTCTACTCAAGAACATTAGAAAGAGACACTTTTCTTGGTCGAATTGTTGGACATGATGTCAATTTTTCACTTGCCTCTGAGTGAAAAATAGAAAAATACAGGAAAATGTTGTCTATCAAAAAGGTAAACACTCCATTATATATATATATACTATATCTTATGAATAACATTTTTCAGAATCCTGATTCTCTAACTACACCACAGTTATTATTCTGTATTTGGTCCATATAAATGTAAAATGTTATGTTTATTTCAATACCTGAAGTAAATCAAAATAAAACGTAAAAATGACCCCCAAAAACCCAAGCTGAAACAGCTGACTGAGACTTGCTCATGGATTAAATTGGTAATTGGATGTCCAGAATTTACAAAAGTACAGTGCAACTTACCGTACAAAAAGATGAATGAAAAGAACACACACACACCAAAAACAAACAGATAGCCACTTTCCCGCACCCCTGAGCTAAGGGACGAAATATTAAGGAATAAAAACTGACTCGTTTTGATTCAGACCAGCACTTAATCGATCGTATTTTGCACCTCAAATCTGATCCTCATAAACATCCAGCAGGAGGAGACAGAGCTCAGATATCTGTCACTGGCGCTCAACGATCATTTTAGTCAAACACTGAGTAATACTGCTATCAAGCATCAAGCCCATGCAAATACTTATGAATTCATAAAGGCATCTACAGTCAGAAAACAGAAAGCAAAAGATGTGGACGGTTGAGGGACTGAAAAAGAGAGCGCAAGCCAACCGAGAAAACCGTTTCGATCCGTTACTGACTGGGTCGTTTATTCGCTTGCGTCCTTTTTCTCCCGTATTTAAAAAAAACATGCACAGTCGGTCAAGTATCACTCGCACAAATAGATCACCCAATGAGAATGAAATAAGTGCTTGGCTTTCAAGTAGTTGTTTTACAAAAACAAAAAAACAACAAAAAAAAAAGAGAAAGAAAGAAAATTCCCTTCAATTTGCTCTTACAATAATAGTGATAAGAAAAGTTCCCGATCTCAAAATGACAGAAATGATGCTGAGGGGAAGAGAAAACCGGCAAGCGTGAAGTAACCAATCAAATGTCATGGATACCAGGTGGTAAACTTTGCAAAGCTGCTCCGCCCTCGCCCTCTCAGGGACGTGTAAGATGGGCTCAGTCGAGTTTCTTCTGAGGAGCGTGGTGGTCTCTCGGGCTGAAATCAGCACAGAAGCCGTTGGCGTGAGGAGGGGAGCTGCTGCCGAATCCTGCATTGTCCGAGTAGAGGAACTGCTCAGCGAACTCGGGATGCTCCTCCGCAAACTCCCTAAAGCTCTCTGCCACCAGGTGGCGTCAGAGGAACAACCAGAGTCAGAGTGGGAAACAGAGATGTTTCTACAGAACATACAGTCCAAATGTTTCTCTTAATGGAGTAGTTCACTTTAAAAAAAACTTTTGCTGATAATTTACTCACCCCCATGTCATCCAAGATGTCCATGTCTGTCTTTCTTCAGTCGAAAAGAAATTAAGGTTTTTGATGAAAACATTCCAGGATTTTTCTCCATATAATGCACTTTACTGGGCACCAAACTGTCCAAGGTCCAAAAGACAGTTTCAGTGCAAACTGCAAACTGTTCAAAGGGCTTTAAACGTTTCCAGACGATGAATAAGGGTCTTATCAAGCGAAACGATCGCTCATTTAAAAAATAAATAACAAAGTTTAAGTTTTATAAGCTCAAATGCCCGCCTTGCTCTGTTCTGTGTGACTCTCCTGTTCGAACTCGTTCATCAAGATGAACAAATCTTTTTCCGAGTCACACAGAACAGAGCAAGGCAAGCATTTGAGCTTATAAAACTTACATTTTGTTTTTTGTTTTTTTAATGAGCGATCGTTTCGCTTCATAAGACCCTTATTCATCGTCTGGAAACGTTTAAAGCCCTTTGAACAGTTTGCAGTTTGCACTGAAACTGTCTTTTGGACCTTGAACCGTTTGCTGCCTAGTAAAGTGCATTATATGGAGAAAAATCCTGGAATGTTTTCATCAAAAACCTTAATTCTTTTCGACTGAAGAAAGAAAGACATGGACATCTTGGATGACATGGGGGTGAGTAAATTATCAGCAAATTTTTTTTTAAAAAGTGAACTACTCCTTTAAGCTCACCTTGTGGAAATTATCCCAAAAAAAACAATCAGACTTTAAAGATGTTAATGTTATTCATCACTAAATGACACCAGAATGAAGCACGAGACCTCCTGACACACTGCAGGCCGGAGTTACTACTACACTCATGCACTCACTGTAGGGTCGCACAAATACAAAAGTGACTTGATAAAAAAAATATATATATTGTAATATTTTTAAAATGTTAAAAATGAGCATTTACCACAATTCTCATTAATTAGTGCTCATTAAAATAATTATTACGTTTTTTTGTTTTATTTCAATTGACCCTTCGCACCCGCCCCAGTAACTTAGTTACTGTTGCTAGGTCGACAAGCCATGGTGCTGTCACGCCACACGTCATGTTCTCACGCAGTGAAAAATACATTGCGACAGTGACGTTGTCAATGAGTCTCCTGGTGAAGGGTGAATTAATCATGCGGATCTAAACTGACGCGGTAACTACAAGTGTCAAGTCATAACAATAACGTCACTAATGAACCATTCCAAGATACAAAGATTAAGAACGCTAACTGAGACTTTCATCCAGGAATGAATGGTTCTCTTACCGAAAGTGATTTTGCCAGTGTCCTCGTCATCGATGGCTCTGAACAGACGGCTGACTTTGAGTTTTCCAACGCCCAGCGCCGTCCTCAACACACACATCAGCTCGTTCTCTGTGATCGCACCGTCCTCTTCTGCCTCGAACATCTGAAAGCAATGCATACATCTCATCTCAGAGCTGAGCGTCATCACTGTAGTGATCAATTACTCCATAAAACTGGGCATAACCTATTCGTTTTTAGGAGAAGTCACACACCTTGAAGGCCAACCTGATGGTGTCAAGTGTTTTTGCAGGCCGACACACCACAGAGAACGCGATCACGAACTCTCGGACATCCACTGAGTTGTCTTCATGCTACTCAGAGAGAGAAAAGATGGACCTTTTTCATTGAATTGAACATGAAAAACAGCTAATGTATAAGAAAAGATGGAGGGAACAACAAAGCATATGCTAGGCAACTAAATGCCTGTTGTTTGATCCATTTCACTTGCCAGTGATTGAGTTACGTTAAATACATTAAGGACAGATATATTTCCACTGTGCGTCGTGTATTACAACTGTTTTGCACTATAAAGAGCCATTCAATATTCAAATAAAATGAGAATACAGCGAATTGGACCGCAGAAAGTTGGATTTTCATCTTTACAGTGCACTTTTCCAATTGATATCAATGGACTCGCCGCATCCTCAGCTCGTTTCTTACCGTCTCTTAGCTGAAAGCGCTATCTCTTGGATTCTTTCTTTCATACACATGCAAAGAGTGAGAAAGTGACTTTTTTTTTCCTACCAGAATTCAGCTGGAATTGTTAATTATACTAGCTTTTCACATTAAACTAAGACTTTGAGACCAAGCAGCAATCCCCAAATTTGTCAAAATTTCAAAGACAGAATTGGTTTTCTTAGTAACAGTATTAGTATTATTAGTAGTAGTATTTAGTCTTTTTTTTTTACAGAAACATTAATGTCTCAAACATACAAGCCATTGATTCTTTAAGTTATGTTTAATATAACAAATGCACTCCTAGCACATTTTAGTTCATAAAATGCTCAGTTTTTCTATTAATTTAGTTCAGCTGTTATGCTTTCAAGTCATTTTGTGAAGGGAAGCAGATTCGATTTAGAAAGTGCCATACAGGGTAATATTTAAAAGCCAAAGAACAATTTACCTCGTCAAAGAGAGCAAACATGTCTCTGAGTACGTCCGACACGGGCAGGTCAAGGAACTCGGCGAAATCTTCAAGACTCAGTCTCTCGCCCTGGAGTTTATGAGCCCTGTTCCCATAATCCTGCAGGAGCTTCTCCGAGTTCTCACGCTTCAACCTGAGATTTAACATTTACACACTATCAGCAGAATCCAGTCACAAAGATGGAATTTACAGTATGACGCGGAATGTGACAGAATTTGGACTAATAAATCAAAAGTAGGGGTTGTACAATTAATCTGTCTAATATGGCGATATGGAGTAGTACCTGTGAATATTAAAGTGAAAAAGACTGCTTTGAAATCGGAAGTCTGCATGTTCAGCACGTCTCAGTTTGGTCTACGTCTCACTATACGAGGACAGAAACTTCTTCTCGAAGTCGCTTCTCCAGCATTTTACCATTTCACTTGAGAAGATATCATCAGATACACAAACTCAAAGCTCTTCATGACAACCCAACAAAATAAAAAGAAATTGTGACAGAAATATATTACTACTGTACAGTAAAATGAATATAACGTTTTTTAAAACTTTATTTTTAAGGAATATCAAAATTTTTCTAGGGATGTCCCGATCCGATCCACAGCATCGGTATCGTGCCGATACTGGCCCAGAACGCTAGATCGGAGATCGGAGGGGAGAAAAAAATATGATCCGAAACCTGCTTGAATATTAGCATTTCCCTTATCCAGATAAGCGGCGCAGCCTGCAGATTGGGCGGTTTTGCAATTTATTTTGCGGGCAAAAATGGGTTTGGGCGGGTGGATAAAAATTGGGCTGGTTTCGGATCAGTTCGGCGGGTTTTTGTAGCCGAAACACCGGCACTTCAGATCCTTCTTTCGGCGACCGTCTCACTCTCTCACTCACACACACACACACACACACACACACACACACACACACACACACACACACACATCTCTGGCTGACGCGTGCCCCCTAAACTCACATCAGACACTCCCTCCCACTACCTTCGGTGTACTATAGACGCGGTTTTGCAATCCGTCTCCTCAGTTTATAAACTGTACACAAGATTTTGACGCATAAAGCAAGTGTGTGTGTGGGAGTGTGGAGCGCGCACTGCATGGCACGGAGCGCGGGCGCGAACACTTGCGTTTTCCTTTCAACAGTGGAAACAACTTAAAATACTCTATCATTTCTGGTCATGCAGAAAATAACAAGTTATTTATATATAACTTACGTCAAAATTAATTTTTTTGCGCAGCTTTTGGTGTGCATACAGTTCCAATTCAAATTTTGGTGTTCAACTTTGCGTTTTAAAAATACAACCGTTAATTTTTCGTTTTAGGGGTTAAAAAAGGAAAAACGAATGGACGCAAGAGTACACGGATCAATGGGTAATTTTAAAGCTTGTTAATGATTAACTTTAAACCCGTTGGTACTTTAACTTTTTTTTTTTTTGTGTGTTTGAATAAAGGGTGGCAGTCTTTCCTAATCAACTGTGTTGTGGACTAGCCTATAGCCTACTGGAGAAGTATTTGTTCTCCATTTGAGTTAATTGTTTTTAGGTTGCTAATTGAGCAAAGTGCTTCCATAATATTATTAGTAGCCTATTAGTATTAGTTCAAGAATAAAATAGAATAAAATAAAAATATCGGATTGATATCGGTATCGGCAAATAGCCAAAGCGGCGGAATCGGTATCGGTAGTGAAAAAGTGGTATCGGGACATCCCTAAATTTTTCTTCCATGTTTTCATTTTAACAGTACATTTCTGTTGTGCAGCACTTTGCCAAAAAATACGAGGAATTGTTACATTTTCATTTGATTACATTGAAAAAGATTAATTCAATTGTTAATGCCTTCATTTCATAACCAGTGTTTTGATAATAAATTTGTATTAAATCATAAATCCAAAAAATTCAACCTTTCATAGCGTAAAAAATAAATAAATGATTCAATTAAGTTTTATAAATTGAATTGATTAGATTATTTTTGATGATTACAATTTAATTAAACCACTAAAACAAAATCCAGAAAAATATATAAAAAATATTTAATTTAATTAAAATAAAATGGATTTCATAGGGCCTTTTAACCCTCTGGGGACTAAGCCCTTTTTGGTCCGTTTTCTCTATTTTTACATTTGGCCTTATAAACCATATGTAATGGAGATGGAACACTATGTGTTTGGTATCTATGGATTCAGAAGACCCTAAGCTAACATAAGCATGCATGTAATGTGTTTACAAAGGAAGTATGAGTGAAAAATGTACTATAAACTAGAGAATTTCAAAAACGGAAATTAGATTTTTGTCATTTATTTCAGAAAATCACACATCACACAACAATAGTGAACAGTTTTTGAAAAAAAAATATATTTGTCAAAGCCTTTGCTTGACAGACATGTGTAATTGTTAAATAAAATGTGTAAAGAACAATGAAAACTGTGACTTTATTTACAAATAGTCCTAGGCGTTTTTCTTAGGAATGCTTAGAATTTTCTAAGCAATGCTTTCTCCTCGTCACTCTCTCCAGTAATTGTTCCAGAGCTTGTTCCACCGTAAATCGTTTACTGCTTGCCATCATAAAAGTGCTAAAACAATAAATAATGCTATAATTGTTTGTGTATATATATATATATATATATATATATATATATTATAATTGTTCTGTCTCTCTTTAACATAAATCTCTGATAATCCGCTCCGTAAGCCTCCGTTCGCTCTCTCTCCTTCTCTCCATTCAACGCTGTTTGCGTCATATCCCTAACTATATAGTACCACCCCTTGCAAGGCTACAGAGTCCTCTGATTTGCTAGAAACGTCATGGTAACCTTCCTCTGATTGGGTAAGAAAAATATTTCTCCATCGGCAATTTTTCCATTGGTTGTTGTTCGCGGAATCTGCCAAACAACATCGATTTCATTGGCCTTTTACATAGTGGTATTGCGCAACAAGGAAGTGTGTATATTTACAAGCCGGGTGAGTTATCACTGTTTTCAGCGGAATCTGAGGAAGACGGTGAAAAAGACCGCATCTCTCTATCATTAATAGTTTTTAAGATAATTACACATTTGTAAAAGTATGCCATTTTGGGCGGTACCGCCCAATCCGTCCCCAGAGGGTTAATAAACAGTTTTATGATTTTAATGAATTAGACATGCTTTTTGATTACTAAAATTTCATTTAACCATTAAAACAGAATTTACAAAAAAAAATTTGAGATACATTTAAACGGATTTCATAGGACCCTAAAAAAGAAATTTTTGTTAAACTTCAAATAAATAGTTTGTTTGTGTTCAGTGCTGTAATGAGACTCACCCCAGACTCCGGACCAGTTTAGCAAACTCCAGAAGACACGTGTCCACGGGCAGCTTGATCTGACCCTCAGCCATGGCTAACTGACAGTCTTCAAACGAGTAGTCTGTCACGGGGACCTGCAGGGCCCTTCACACACAACACATCAGTGTTAGACACCCGCTATCATTTCATTCAGGAACAAATTATGCTCTTCAGATCCAGAAGAAACCACAAAATAAGAGTGAATCTCACAAAACCTGTCATTAACATGCTGTCACATTTCTTATCCATGTCCAAAGTAAAAAATCTTCTATATATACATATTTTTTTAAATTGTTCTAGGACTATTACTTTTTTTTTGTTGCTTTGTTTACGTTACAGTTAAACACATCGTACCCTCTCATCTCATAGACTTGAGTCTTATGCAATCTGCAGTATTCACAATATTGAATCTCATTACTGTAACAGCAGAACAAAGATTTTTATTTAAGCTGTATAAATTAAGTTATTACCACCATCATACATAAATAATTAAGCTTTTAATAATAAATCTTTGTTTTTCCCGGCATTACATCATGACAATTAGGGGCATGTCCTTATTTGTTCAATTAAAAGAATGTAATAATTATTTAAATTATGTAACAAACTGTATTATGATTATTTAAATACCATTAAGGACATTTTTTTTTATTTGATTTGGGCTTATTATTTAGCTTTCTAAATAATTAAATTAAATTGAATGCAGTAATGAGTAAACTACTAAAAATACTATGAGATTAATCATGATTAATTACTTTAATTGATTTACAGAGATCTTAAGATAAGTAACAATGGTCCTAAAAAGGGTTTATATTTTTTATACTATATATGAAATGGCGAGATTCTTCCATTAAGGCCTGATTACAACTAAATAAAAAAAAAAAAAAAACTATTTGCATAGACTTGTGGACAGGTCACATAATTTAACAGGCTACAACAGGTTATCTAACTTTAATTTCCAAGCATTTATGTTTATACACAAAACAATATCTTGCGATACCCCCTCCAACAAGATGACAGACAATCCAGACACAGATCGACAGCGAGGAGAGCTCATATCTTACTTTGCCATCAAGCGGCGCACATTGTGAGCGAAGAGCGCGGGATTATTCTTCTCCTCCTCTGAGGGCGAGTATATGGGCAGATACTGAGAGAAAGGAATAGAAAACCAGTCAGCAGTTTCCTGGAGACACGTCTGTGCAAATCCAGGTCAAGTGAAGTCCAGGCTCAGAGACGCAGCCCAAACACGTTCACGACAAGCTTCACTTCCAGCACGATTCAAGCTCCGGAGTGCAGGCGGGAAAACGAGGTCGCTTCACTCCAGAATTTACATGCATCACCTCGTCCCTCTATACCACTCATAATTAAAGCCACTTTACCACATTCATGGCTTCTTTGTGAAAAGAATGAGTCTGGAGAATTTGCAGGATTGAATAATCAATAAGGAAGACAAAGCCATCAGTTTAATAAAAAAAAGAAAAGAAAAAAGTTTTCTGAACTGTTTTCTGTAGTTAAGTTTTCTGTACTGCAGCCGTACTGAACTGTGACTTTAAAACCGAGATACAGGTACATACCAAACCATCATGTTTGAGATATACACTCACCGGCCACTTTATTAGGTACACCTGTCCAACTGCTCGTTAACACTTAATTTCTAAGCAGCCAATCACATGGCGGCAACTCAGTGCATTTAGGCATGTAGACATGGTCAAGACAATCTCCTGCAGTTCAAACCGAGCATCAGTATGGGGAAGAAAGTTGATTTGAGTGACTTTGAACGTGGCATGATTGTTGGTGCCAGAAGGGCTGGTCTGAGTATTTCAGAAACTGCTAATCTACTGGGATTTTCACGCACAACCATCTCTAGGGTTTACAGAGAATGGTCCGAAAAAGAAAAAACATCCAGTGAGCGGCAGTTCTGTGGGCGGAAATGCCTTGTTGATGCCAGAGGTCAGAGGAGAATGGCCAGACTGGTTCGAGCTGATAGAAGGGCAACAGTGACTGAAATAACCACTCGTTACAACCGAGGTATGCAGCAAAGCATTTGTGAAGCCACAACACGCACAACCTTGAGGCGGATGGGCTACAACAGCAGAAGACTCCACCGGGTACCACTCATCTCCACTACAAATAGGAAAAAGAGGCTACAATTTGCAAGAGCTCACCAAAATTGAACAGTTGAAGACTGGAAAAATGTTGCCTGGTCTGATGAGTCTCGATTTCTGTTGAGACATTCAGATGTTAGAGTCAGAATTTGGCGTAAACAGAATGAGAACATGGAACCATCATGCCTTGTTACCACTGTGCAGGCTGGTGGTGGTGGTGTAATGGTGTGGGGGATGTTTTCCTGGCACACTTTAGGCCCCTTAGTGCCAATTGGGCATCGTTTAAATGCCACGGCCTACCTGAGCATTGTTTCTGACCATGTCCATCCCTTTATGGCCACCATGTACCCATCCTCTGATGGCTACTTCCACCATGTCACAAAGCTCTAATCATTTCAAATTGGTTTCTTGAACATGACAATGAGTTCACTGTACTAAAATGGCCTCCACAGTCACCAGATCTCAACCCAATAGAGCATCTTTGGGATGTGGTGGAACGGGAGATTCGCATCATGGATGTGCAGCCGACAAATCTGCGGCAACTGTGTGATGCCATCATGTCAATATGGACCAAACTCCCTGAGGAATGCTTCCAGCACCTTGTTGAATCTATGCCACGAAGAATTGAGGCAGTTCTGAAGGCAAAAGGGGGTCCAACCCGTTACTAGTATGGGGTACCTAATAAAGTGGCCGGTGAGTGTATATATATATAGTCAAACCACAATTTATTCAGAAACCTTCAACATTTCTCACATTATCAGTTTATTTGCTATAGTTTAGAAAATGGTAATGACAAGAACAATATGACAGCTGATATTTCACTGGTTTTGGCCATTCTTCTGTTAGACTGTCTCACAAATGAATTAGGTTGAATAGCTGTCATCTGTTAAATTTAGATACACAATTAGATAACACCAATTTAGGTCAACCAATTACCAAGTAATGCTTAATTTTGTTCAGTCTGTGGTGTAAAAGGGGTTGCATTAGCAATTAAAGAAAAACACTTAAGCAAAACATGGTCAGGTCAAAGTGTCTGAATAATTTTTGGTCCCAAATTTTTATACATTTTACAGGTAGTTTTACTGTATGAAGAATTGTTGGGTATAATATGTCAGTTTACGACCTTACTTACATAAATTAACTATAGTGTCCTGCAACCACTAGTAAAAAAATATATCTGTCTGAATAATTTTAGCTTTGACTGTATGTGTATGTGATATATAAGAGTTTGGTTCCAATAAGCGATAAACGCCATTTAAAAAAAAAAATTAGTTACTGCAAAAATCAGTATTGTATCTGGTTGGTATTGAAAAGTCAATGTTTAATTTTAAGTAAAATGCGATATCTGCCGTGTTCTTCTGTCATGTTTTCTCCCTTTCTTTCCAAACCGCGACAAACGCCAGTCTCCCTTTGCAGAATGCGATATTTCCGCTCTCAACCAATCACAACGCACCATTCCACGCAATGTAAACAGTAACGGCAGCGCCTTAAATACACCCGGCTTCCTAGTTTTTCTTATCTATTTTGTACTTTTCGATCAACAAACAAACAAAAAAATGAATAATTTTGACGGCATTGATGAACCTGTGGTTGTTTCTGCGGTGGGTAAGAAGCGTAAGGCATCGAAATTGAATCATTTACGTGAGGAGATTAAGAAGATGAGGCACTCGGGAGGAGGAAAAATGTTTTCAATCTTCTTTACAGTTCTTAATAAAAATATTATACTAATAAACTTATGTTGTTGTGTATTTTCAACAGTTTCAATATGAAAAAAAAAACGTTTATATTGATTCAATGGATTAATTGCATTTTGATTTTTTTTTTAAATGGATTTATTGCATTTTGGGGAAAAAAATATCCGTTTTTATAATAAATCTTTGAAAATCAAAACCTGGATTTTTTTTTTGTTGTTGTTATTATGACCTACAAATGCTATGTGAAAGTTTGAAACAGAAAATAGTGGTTTTCATCTTTCTACTTTCTTGGTAAAGAAAACACATTTTTACTCAAATTAATCTAAATGGATTTATTGCGTTTTGGAACCAAACTCTTCATATAAATAAATATATATATATATATATATATATGGGGGAGGGGTTAAGATAAAATACACTAATTACAAGCATAGATAGAGTATAACAAAGTTACAAATAAATTAATTGTAGTGTATTCAGGTACAGACATGTAATAATTAGACCTAAATGTGTTCACTGTAATCTTTGTGTTTACGGGAATATTTGCAGAGACTGGTATTTTGATATAAATTTGTATGTGTCCGTTCAAGCGTACGGCGATGCAAGAGGAATCAATTCGCCGTTCGCACGCTTTGTGGTACCGAATTGATGGTGAAACTTTTGATGGTGAAAGCAATCAGCAAAACACATGCGTGCCGAAACGTGGGGCCTGGTCCGTACGGATCACGGATCCACTCCGATCGGTTTAACCCTTAGCATAGAGAGATAATATTGAGCGGAGCGTCACACTGCGCAGTGATAACGGCTAGTGCGAGAGTGATCTTCGACAGTAAACTGATGCCTCGTTCTATTTATGACGAAGGAAAAATGCTTTGCTACGGGCGCTTTGTCGCATCTAGTGTAGACAACCTAGCTGTTAGCTGTTGCGGCGTGAAGCGAGCGATGACGGTCACGTCCGATGTAGACACGGTGTCAGATTTCAATAGCAGTCTTTTTGCGCTTTAAAGGAGTAGTTCACTTTTTAAAAAACTTTTGCTGATAATTTACTCACCCCCATGTCATCCAAGATGTCCATGTCTTTCTTTCTTCAGTCGAAAAGAAATTAATGTTTTTGATGAAAACATTCCAGGATTTTTCTCCATATAATGGACTTTAATGGTAGCCAAACGGTTCAAGGTCTAAATGACCGTTTCAGTTCAGCTTCAAAGGGCTTTAAATGATACCAGACGATGAATAAGGGTCTTATCTAGAGAAACGATCTGTCATTTCAAAAATAAATAAAAAAGTTAAAGTTTTATAGGCACAAATGCTCGCCTTGCGAACTCTCCTGTTCGAACTCGTTCATCAAAATGAACGAATCTTTTTTTGAGTCAGTGACTCGTTCATCAAAATGAACGAATCTTTTTTTGAGTCATTGACTCGTTCATCAAAATGAACGAATCTTTTTTCAAATCATTGACTCGAAAAAAGATTGGTTCATTTTGATGAACGAGTTCGAACAGGAGAGTTCGCAAGGCGGGCATTTGTGCCTATAAAACTAACTTTTTTATTTATTTTTGAAATGACAGATCGTTTCTCTAGATAAGACCCTTATTCATCGTCTGGTATCATTTAAAGCCCTTTGAAGCTGCACTGAAACAGTCATTTAGACCTTGAACCGTTTGGTGCCCAGCAAAGTGCATTATATGGAGAAAAATCCTGGAATGTTTTCATCAAAAACATTAATTTCTTTTCGACTGAAGAAAGAAAGACATGGACATCTTGGATGACATGGGGGTGAGTAAATTATCAGCAAAAGTTTTTTTAAAAGTGAACTAATCCTTTAATATTCATTGACACTAGTCCATATCACGGTTAGATAAAACGTACAGCCCTACCTTTCATTTATTCAACCAAAATTTGCCAAATTCAGTGACACTCCGTGTTTATAGACTAAATTTTATTTTTATGACTGAATCCATACTGATTAAATCCCATATAAGCTCTAGTAAGCCTCACAGCACCCAGCCTCATGACTTCATGTCTACAGATGACAAAGCAAAACAAAAACAATATATATATATATATATATATTGTTTTTGTTTTGCTTTGTCATCTGTAGACATGAAGTCATGAGGCTCTATATATATATATAGAGAGAGAGAGAGAGAGAGAGAGAGAGAGAGAGAGAGAGAGAGAGAGAGAGAGAGAGAGAGAGAGAGAGAGAGAGAGAGAGAGAGAGAGAGAGAGAGAGAGAGAGAGAGAGAGAGAGAGACACTCACCTCAATCTGAAACTCATTGTGAAACTGACACAGAGTCAACCACAGGATCTTAAATCTGCAAAAGAACAAGGTTACACTTAGTGATGTTTCTTGATGTGTAACATTTTATTAATTTCTCTTCTTTAGAGTGTTTTTTTTAGAGTTCTGCATTTCAGTCTGGTGTTGTTGGTCCTTTGGTAGTACAGATCCAGGTTGACCACTCATTTCCATACAGTACTGCAGCTATGAAGGCTGATAACAGGTTCAATAAAAACCTCTGGTATGAAATATGGCACTTACGCTCCAGGCCCCTGCCACGTCCAGGTAATAGTGTCCTGTCATGGGGAAGAAAAACATTAATCCATCAAAATACAGCTCTGTAGTGGAAACCTAACCTTATGAAAGCTTGTTTCCACTGTGGAATAAAAAAAATAAAAAAAGGTAATTGCGACTTTTTTCCCCTCCCAATTCTTTTTCTCCCAATTCTGATTTTATTATGGGACTGCAGATGAAATGTAGCTTTGTAGCTTATTCTAGGGCAGTCATTGACCGTCCACTGTCCATGTTAAATTACATTTTAATTCTTGCAATTCCGAGTTTGTATCTCACGATTCTGCCTTTTTTTCCTCCGAATTCTGCATGTTAATGCAGTCATGTTGCCCAAAAATCTGGGCAAAAACAGAATTGCAAGATGAAATGAGGGAAAAAAAAACGTTTATTTTTAATTTTTTATTATCTCCTCGCCAGAAGATTAACAGCAGCATTCTAGTAAGACATGGATGTCTTACTAGAATGTTACTGGATGAATTGACGTGTTGACAGATACAATTCTCTGAACTGCGGCGCTTAGCCAACTAACATTGTGCGCCCATTGTGCGTTACAGATCAACTAACATGAATGATCATTATAAAGGTTTCTTAAATGACAAACCACATTCACTTATGTATTTAAGAATAAAAATATCAGCCAAAGACTGACTGACATGTAACGCAACCAATCATAGTTCGTTTTGTTCCGCGTCATGTTTAGTGTGAAAAATGTGAAGTCGACGTCCCTACAATAACAGACCGGCGTATCCATCTAATAAATTAATCATTCAAGAACGTTGTGCAAGTTTATAGCAACAATAGAGCATACTTTTGAAATTCAGCATTCAGTTGATCCTGATAAGAGCTCATTGTCACAGTTGTAAACATGACGGCGTCCTTCTTCCACGAGGGGTTTCGCGTCACGGCATTAGCAATAAGTCAGGAGAGGTGTCGTATTTTGCCAGAGAAGGCAACAAATGTGAAAAGAATTGCTGAAATTTAAAGCTGGTTTGTAGCATACCAAGAATACAGACTTAGTACTGTAGTGTTTTTTAGTGTTAAATTATTGTAGTTGGGTTAGGTGGCATAGGTTTTATTGTGAATTTATAAAACGGTTAGTTACAATCCTTGATTCTGATTGGTCAATAGCTGTGCTTTATTCACGATAAAACACGGCTATGACCGCTTCACCCAACGGTTCTATTTATCACTGCGCCCTTAGCAACACCCTTAGCAACCACACGTATCAACATAAACAGACAAAAAACGTAAGAATTAAAAAGGCTAAAATGTTTAAAGTAAATTTCGATTTATTAGGTGGCATGACGATGGATAAGTGGTTTGAGGAACAATTTGTAGAGACTTCTACAAATATGAACCGTCATGCTGAAGTGCTGAAATGTAACATTGATACATTCGAGAAGACTCGTAATGAAAAAAATACCGTGCAGCAAACCCAATGGGCAGTGAAATGCTTCGGTGACTGGTGTAGTGAAAAGGGTTGCAGCATTGATTTTAAACAAATCACCAAGACGGAACTCAACGCACTTCTCCGTGACTTCTACGGAACTGTCAGAAGCTCCAAAGGCGAAAAATATGGGATCAGTAGCTATGTAGCGTTACGTGCGGGTGTGAACAGATTCCTGAATGATCCACCTTTGAGTTTGTCCTGGTGTCTGATGAGAGACAGCGAATTCACCTCATCCAATAATGTTTTCGTTGGAGTCGTAAAGACAATGAGAAGAGAGGGTCGTGATAAAACGGAGCATCACACATCGATTTCTACGAAAGATTTCAGCACCATAAAACTGTCCGATGCGCTTAATCCTAACACACCTGAAGGACTCGTTAACAAAGTCTGGTTTGACGTGCAGTTACACTTCGGACGTAGAGGAAAAGAGGGGAACCGAGAACTCATTCCAGACTCATTCCGCATTTTAACAAACGAAAATGGTGTAAAGTATGTCACAATGAGCTTCAATGAAGACACAAAAAACCATAAGGACCCACATGACAGAAATAAGGAGAGCAGGCGTGGCTTCATGTTCCAACAAACTGGGAACCCGCTTTGTCCCGTTGCCTCTCTAGAGAAGTACGTTTCTCTTCTGCCATCTAACCCCCCTGCTTTTTACCTTCACCCCAAAAAGCAAAACCTCTCTAAATGTGTTTGGTACGTAGATCACGCAGCGGCACATACATCATATTAGCTATTTATAATTTGTGTTAAATCTTGTTGTGTTAAAGTTTTTTCTCGTTTTTGACTGTTGCAGGTACACAAGAGAGCCTATGGGTGTGAACTACCTCGCAACAATGTTGCAGAGAATTTGTAAAGCAGCAGGCACCTCAAAGGTTTACACAAATCACTGCCTTCGCAGCACCATGGTGCAGAGATTGTCCGATGCTGGTCTCGAATCGAGGGAAATTATGTCTGTGAGTGGACATAAGTGTGAAAGTTCACTACAGAGCTACTGGAGGCCAAACTTAAAACAAAGAAAGCACTGGAGCGACATTCTTGCTGCAACAGAAAACACTGCTGACAGTGCTGAGCCCCAACTAAAGAGAACCGCGTTAAATATCACCACAGTGGAGCCGATTGAAATGAGACAAATATTTAATGCGTGCACAATTAACGGAGATGTTCAAATAAATTTAAATAAACAACAATAAAAAAGAATCTCTTGTTAGGCAGCATTTTAATAACTGAATTGATAACATTAATAAAATAGATTAAAGACCTAACTGTTATCTATCAAAATATGTGCCCTTGTGTTTTTATTTATAGGCTATGTAAATATTTAGTTTAGTGCAGAGAGAAAATAACGGAATAAACAAAAAAGTAAACGTTTTCTCATGCTGAGAGATAAGCTATGCCTATTTGTGTGAGGAAATTTCACAAATATTGTGTTGTAAAAAATAAAAAGAATGAGACAAGTTTGAGAACGGTTTGTTGTTTTTATTTGAGCTTTCATGCATATTACACATTGGAACGTTGTTGTTCACGGTCAGGGACTATTTTTTTTCTAGCGGAAGGAATGCTTTTAATGCTTTTATTGATTTAACTTCCATGAAATTTCCACTAATAATTTTTTTTTTCTTTAATATTGTGTGGTAACCGTTTTATAAAAGCAATAAGGTACTCGAGGCAAGTGCTGTATCGTGAATAAGTAACGGCTGAAGGGGTTGCAGGCACTCCGCTTCGCGTCGTGCCTAACAACGCCCTTCAGCCGCTACTTATTCACGATACAGCACAGCCTCTCGTACCTTATTGCTTACTTATTATGTCAATTTGTTTTTTTGTATTTAGACTACTTATATTTATATATACTTTTAATAATTTTAATATATTCAATTAAAAAAAAAATTTCAATAAAAAAAGCAGTTTTTCAATATCATTCACCATCGTTTTGAAGCTCTTTTAAAAAAAGTATCGGTTCAGGCACCCTAACTGACAGTCTGCCGCCTGACAGCCAGCTTTCTGTGTGCGTGCGCTCAGAAAACCATATATCAAAAATTGAAACAGATATGGCTTTAAAACACATGCAAATACTAAACGTTCATGATGACGAAGAACTGCAATGTCACATGAGCGTGACTGCGATAGAGATGACAGTCAAAAACTAACGAATCTGTTTGGTTTTGATTGAGTATCCGAGGGACGAGCTGTAAAGGCACAGCACTATTCTGGATAGGGAGGCGGGAAGCAGCGGCTCATTTGCGTTTCAGATACATGGACGAAAACAGCATGTTTTTGCTTTCACTCAAAAATGATCATATCAGATATTGAATCAAGAAAAAAGTCAAGCGTCTCACCAGCTGGTTTGGGTAGCGGATCACTACAGGCTGTACAGGAACTGCTGGAATGAACGCTCCTGAATCACACAAACAAACAACATAACATTTGTTAAGCACAATTGTTATGCTCTAAAGAAACAAAGGTTGCATTTGCATAAAATTAGCACAGAACAGACTGAACAGAAACCCTAGAAAACTGATTAGTCATTTTGTAATTCCAGAAGAGCTTTATTGCCAAGTGAATTGTTCTTGTTAATGAAGCTTCCAGTGCGCACATAAATACAACAAGACACATAACAATAAAATTAAAGAATAAAAATATGAAGTATAAAGACATAGTTAGGTTAAGTTAGAATAGACATATTTACAGAGTAGTAACATATTTACAGTATTATGGATAATATGAATAAACAGGAGTGAATTTGCAAGATAATTAGGGAGCAAGAGCACATACACACCTGGTTTGAACGTGATCAGACAGGATCTATTGGTGCACGTCCCCTCTGGAAATATCATTATCTGGAAGACACACAGATTTTCTGATCTGTCCACAATTATTCCTTATTTCACTTAATCTCAGTACCGGGTATGTGACAATGACTCTCCATATTCATTGCATTATAGGGAAATTATTTGAAAAGAAATGCAAACTCACAATGCCCCAATCATGTGACTTTAAAATATTAAACCCACAATGTTTACAATTATAAATCATCATCAAAGCAGCACAGAGAAAGGGACATGGAGTAAATCTGAAATCATTTCACTGCTATGATTTAAGTGGATGTTTGTGTTAAATTGTTTTATTGATAATCAATTTTTGGATATCAATGGATATCACTTTCCATTATGTTAGTCTTTTGTAAAATGCATTTAAGAAAAGACTTGTCCTTAATGACATCATCCTGCAGGAAGTGACATCATTTTGGAGGGAAATCAACACCAGAAGCATCAGTAAGTATTATCAATAGATCTGAGGTTTTGTGCTGAGGTTAGTTGGTTTGTGTCTAAAACATTTAGTGTGCACTCTAAATGTGCAAGCTCACTAGCCTAACCTACTAGACTGCAACACTTAAAACACTATGTGTGCACTCGCTAGATGTGTTTTTGTAAAACGAGGGACATACTTGATAATGTCAAATCGCACATCATCAAAACAACAAACAATATAATCGTAGACGATATACAGTATATTCAAGTCTCACCGACTCTCTGTTACATAGTTAATCTGGTTTATTATTTTTTATTTTTGGCTAGTAGAAGTTCTGAATGGCAGGTAACCTAAAAATGTAGTAGCAAAATTGGCCGGTGGGTGAAAAAGTTCATCTCAAACCCTGGTGGTCATACCTGAGGCCACTCTCCTCCTGAATGAGCTCTTCTCTTGATCTCTTCCACCGTCTTCCGTCTGGAGTCCTGATCTGATCGCGACACAAACACAGGCCGGATGAATTTGATCAGAGCTAGAGGAGGGAGAGATATGATCACATGGGTCACATGCACAGGTTCAGAAGGTCACACAATCCTGTAAAAACTCATCTGCCCTGGTGCGATGGCTGTACAAAGGTTTGTAAAGGTGACGAGCTATTTTTACTCTCGAGACTTTAATGAGCTGCATGATTGCAGGATCTGATTCAATGACACATTGAGGACAGTGTTAAATGAAACACTATCGGGTGAATCTCATCAAAATGGTCAAAATTGAGCATAATAAGCAGAGAGAAAGAAACATTGTGTTTCCCATTACAGGGTGAATCTCACAGAAAACGCTTGGTGTCATTTTTCACCCCAAAAGTGAAACTTTGCATTAAGGAAAATATGTTTTTTAGGGCTGTTATGAATATCTTCATGCGTAAAAACAATGACATGATGATCATCTAATTTATGAAATACATTTATGCAAGACTAAAATGAAATGTTTTCACATCGAGCTGTGTGGAATTACATATGCTTAACTGTCATCTTCATGGTTTACAAACTTTAGATTTTATTATATTAGTAGTCGGTCGATATTGGGGGATATCTTAGAGAGCAGGGTGGCCGATGGCCGTTGTAAAGCCGATATATATACATACTTTATATTTATTTGAATTAATATTTAATACATTAGAATTCTCTGTTCAGTTATGTTGAGACGTCAGAGGGTCACACTCTAAGCTTCCTCTTTCACTTCCCTACAGCTGCTGCTGAAACTCCTCGTCACTGCAGGGAAGAGGAGCGTGAGCTCTGGAGGTGTTTGGAGGAAGAGCTGCTGCTGCTGATGATGATGATGATGATGATGATTGAGATCACTGATGAGTGGGAGAGCAGATATGGACAGAGATCGTCACTATCCAGGGATTAAGCTGCAGCATATGAGGCTCAGAGTCGCCCGGCTGATCAGGGACTTAACGCCTACACCAAAATTAGCATGCACTAACCAGCTTCATCTAATTGCTCGGCTCTCAAAGGTGCATTATATAGACTATCAGCACACAAAGATGATGCCTGTGCAATGTTTAAATGTGACTAACCCTTTTTTTAGAGACCAACCAATATATATTTTCCCTGATATTTAAGCATTTTCCCATAATCTGGTATCGGTTTTGTAATATCGGATTCACCGATAAATGGTGCTTTCTTGTGGTTGTTTTGAGAATTGCACACAAGACCGCACTGCGTCTGAGGGGAGATGAGTCAACAACGGTGTCCCCTCCCTTAATTAATAAACTTTATTTAACATAACAGCCATTAATGCACAAATGAGATATGCACAAATAAGATATGTTACATAAATGATAAAACAGTGCTCTGTCAGCAGGTATATCATAATCTAGAGACCGACAAAAAAACATTATTAATGATTCTGCTAACATGCCAGGTGAACTCGGTAATTCTAATTGTGGTGATCTATTCTCTGTTTTGTTATTATTCTAACAATGTTTTGCGTATTCCTGCAAATATAAATAAATATCAGTTCTATATATCGGTTATCGGGCACAAACGCAAATAATTGGTAAAAAAAAAAAAAATAATCAATATCGGCCTATTTCTAGATTTTTTTTTTCATTTTGCACACAGTCTATGATTTGTACCAGTGTTTTGAAATGAGGAGGCAAAGTCCTCAGTTTTTTTATAAATCAAATGTAAATTCATGCCCAAGTTACACTTAAGTTGTCACATTTTCCTTGTTAAACACACAATTCTATTTTGTATTTTTGCATTAACAATCTCTCAGCTCTCAGATTTCATTAAAAAGATCTTCATTTGTGTTTTGAATATGAACGTACGGGTTGGGAACAATATGAGGGAAGTAATTAATGACAGAATTTTCATTTTTGGGTGAAATAATGCTTTAAAGTCTCTTTCCTCAGTAACATAACTGGATGTATTTGAGAAGAGAAAGACACCAGTGTTATCTATGATCATGTAGCCCTCACTTGTGCATTTCAGTAGCAATCCCTCGAGGCTCTTCTATTCGTTGTTGCTGCTCGTCTCCACGGTCCCCTCAGCATAGCACCATTAAGAGTATAAACTATTCATTTTATAATAATGATCAACCATCATTTATCACCAAGGCCACTATTTTGCATGTTTTAAATTTTGGCATCAGACTGTAAGATTTTCTGTTTGGCCAATGTGTCTGAAGTGACTTTTATTTTGACAGCACTGAGAACGCCAGCCCCTGAGCTCCCATTCTCAATTTTCATTAGTTTCAGTTTCTAAATAAATGATCGGACATAACTGTTAAACAAAGGAAGTAAATGATGTCCAAAAAAGTATACAGTTGATTATTGTTTACTTCCTTTTCATTTAATATTTTAACAATTTATTTTATGAAAAATACTATAGTAGGATTACAGAATCAAGAAGTTGCTATCCAAAAAAATATCAGATTTAATTTTTCCATATAATAGATGATTTTATTATTTATTTCTAATTAAGCAAATACCACGTAAAATAAATAAATTTCATGTATGCGTTTAAAATAAATAGATATCATATTATCTGCTTTTTTCCCCATAAGATAGTGGCACTGGCCATAAAAAAATATATCAGTTGACCACTAATTTATATAGTACTTTTTTATAAAAAAAAAATATTTGTATAGTTTATAATGCCTTTTATAAAATGACAACATAGACAAGTCAATAAACTGTAGTTGACAATGATAATGAGAACAGGCTGAATGAATGAGAAAAGCGTTTCTGTCCTTTTTTGTTTCACTGCCTTTAAATAACAGATTTTTATGCACACTTACTTCCCCACACAGGAATGTCTTTGCTCTCCGCTTTCATCACAATCGACGCCATGGTCATGGTGACGGGAATAGCGTCGAAATATGACGAGTGAGGGCCGAGGGTGAGGATGGGCGCTTCGGCGGGCAGAGCCCTTCTGCCTTTAACACTGATCCAGTGGAAGCCGCCCGCAAACCACATGACCCGCATGATGGTCTTCAGCACCAGGTCCACCACCCTACAGAAGAAGAGCGAGTCTGAGATCAGACCACATGCAGCGTCATTCAGACGAAAGGTTTGGGAACATCAAGGTGGATTGTTTCATTAGTGTGAGTGTAGTCTGAACACCAGTGAGCTGTATGTGAACTGCTGTTATGTATGCTAGGTCTGCACCACACTGGGGGAAAAAATGACTTTGCGATATTTTGTTTTTCTGCTATATATATATATATATATATATATATATATATATTGTGACATGAAAAAAACCCCACCAGATTACCTTTTTACACCAGATGACTTAAATAGCTCTATTTGGAAAAAATGTCCCACTTGAGTTCATAGGCCACATTCCCACTGTTTTTGAACCTATTATGATTTTTGTTGTGACTGTTATTATTAGATAAAAATATTAACCTGTTAACTGTCACCCCTCTTTTTGAGCATAGATCTGAACTTTAATGATTGAAGTTCATGAATGCTTTGGAATACAGACCTAATATTGGTTTCTTTTTAAAGACACACTGCATTTTGCAGAAGTGAAAGCACTTTTAATTCACACAAGTTTAATTTTACTGTTAAAGCAAATGTACAGAACTAAGCATTTTTTATTTCAAAAATTAAAATACTGATTTTAAAATCGCTAAAAATAAATCAAAGTCATATGTGTAACCAATCTGAGTTCCAAATTTGAAGTTGATCTCATAAACATTGAGCCAGCTAAATGGTTTTGAAGAACCATTTCCATGGTAATGCAATCACCAAACGAATTATACCTAATTTATGATGGTTACTAAAATTTGTGATAAGGGAAAAAGCAATAAAAAAAGTGTGCCAAGTGTTGACACTGACAGTTAACAGGCTATAATAAAGAGCATATAGTAACAATGCTATTATACTGTATATATATATATATATATATATATAAAAGTAATTATTAATAAAAAATATTTTATTTTCCTGAACTGTAAAATCAAGCTTTTCTTTTTGGCAAATAAACAAATGCATGGGGGTTTCAGGGTGATGTACAGACCATAGTAAATGATGCAGAACATTGTATTATAAGCTGCTCATAAGCTGCTCACGTGTAAATGAACAGTGCCACATGTCACTCTGAAAGACGCATTACGCAGCAGTTCTTTTTTTATTTTGATTATTTTGATTAAATGACAGCCTTTGCAATTTCATAATCGCACTAAGCCATATGATGATATTGACTTTATTTCGATATGTCACGAAAAGCTAATCTATACAGTTGAGTTCAGGCAAAGTTCAAAGGCTTGAGGTACAATGATCACGCACCACACAACACTTGTGCATCAGCATGCACAGTACACATGCATCCCTGATGTCCTATGAATGTGGTTTGAGTGCTCAGATCACTATTGATAACTATACTAATACCACGTTTAAATGGGGAGAAACATTAGTAGCAGTGCAGACGGGCACACGCTCAGACACCTGGAAAGCATTACTGAGTCAGGTTCTGCCCACAGGAGGGTGCTTAACCATCTCACAGCTCAATAAGACACAACCGCTTCATTAAGAGGTCATGTGAGGTTATTAGTAGTTATTAACGTTGCTGGACGTAATTAGCATCTTTAAAAAGAGTGTTTAATTAGATGCTTGATCTACTGTACAGAAAGAGGATGTTTCCCAGTGGGCATCTTGAAATAGCCATTGAAAGGACAACAGCATGTGTATGTGTGTGTGTCATTGAGGCTCAGTGTGACATAACATCTATGTGACTATGCCTCATATCTGCATTCCACACGATTCAAACACTCCTCAGCTGAATATATACACTTATGTTCAAAGATTTGGGGTTAGTAAGCAGATATATTAATACTTTTATTTACAAATAATGCATTAAATCGATCAAAGAGACATTAAATACAATGATAATTAATTTATATTAATTATAAACATCTTTACTGTCACTTTTGATTCATTTAATGCATCCTTGCTGAATAAAAGTTATATTTCAAATAAACATTGTTCTTTTGAACTTTATATAAATCAAAGAATTCTGAAAAAAAAAATGTTTTAATAATAATAAATGTTTCTTGAGCAGCAAATCATCATATTAGAAGGATTTCTGAAGGATCATGTGACACTGAAGACTGGAAAATTCAGCTTTGCATCACAAGAATAAATTATATATTTTTTTAATAGATTGGCATATAACACAATTATTTTAAATGCTGATTACATTTCACAATATTACTGTTTTCACTGCATATTTCTGATAAAATAAATGCAGCCTTGGCCAGTATAAGAGACATTTCTTTGAAAAACATCTTACCAAGCCCAAACTTTTGAACAATGGTGTAGTATGAACAATGGTGTAATAATTATTGAAGTAGGCATGCTTTCACACTAATTTGAAAGACACTTTTTTTTTTTGCACTAGCATCCAGTGGTGCAGAAACAGAGAAGCTGCGATTGTGTTATGCTGGTCTTGCATGACTTCTGTACTGGACATCAACTTCCTGATTTATGAAATAGAGGATCTGAAGGATCAAATTAATCTCACCACAAATCAATCATAAACACTACAGCAAGATACGAGAAGGAAATATACAAAGAGTGTGTTTTCAATTCTGAATAAGTAATAACTATGCAAACGCTGTAGCCGTTTGTCTTCAGTTGTTCTCGCTGTAGTGTCTTATCTGTGATTTGAAATAAGGAAGAGGAGGTCTTTACTTTCTCCATAAGCACTGTGGCTCCACCGTTGTCTCGGAGCGGCCCACGGACGCGATGAAGGCAAACGGCCAGGCCAACAGCATCATGAACGCCGCTATGAAGAGCCGGATGGGGAACACCGTCACTGTCATCAAACCAATCTGCAGAGAAAATGACACACACACACACAAACCTTTTATTGGTCACGTTGGCTGTTAAACATTTGTTTGAGTTCATTTTTAGGGAAGCCTATTTCCAACACATAAGAGAAAACCCAAAATGTTGTAGTAAATCAAAAATTATGACATACTAAGTTATAATTATCACATAAGTCAAAATTATGACATTAAAAATGTATATTACCAAAACTGACATACTAAGTCAAAAATGTATATCATAATTCATAATCATAATTATGTAAAAAAAACTCAAAATTACTAAAACACATCAAAACTATGACACACTACGTCAATTATGACATTGTAAAAAAAGTATGAAATTATGATTGTCAATTTCAAGATTTTAAATGTCAGTTGTAATTTTAACTCATAATATGTCATAATTCTGACTTTTCATATGTCATATTTATGATTTACAAAAGAATGTTTTGTGTCTCGGAAAAGGGCTTCAATACATTATTATACTATGAAAACAAACATCTGCTTAAAACTGTCCAGAATGAAACGAGAGCGTACTGACAAACATGCATCAAGTACTTGGTTAGTTACCACCAGAATAGAGATGTTCATTTAGTTTTTTCCCCAAACCGACAACCAATGCTCGTTAACCGATCATTCATTAACCGACAAGTTTATGTTAAACTGACAAGATTATGTTAAATTAGATTCAATTCAAATAGAATGGATACGTGTCTGTGACCCATTAAAAATACCAACATTTGTTTTCCAGAGGTTTAGATATGCGTAAATAGCAGCATAAACAACAGAAAATGAGGATTCATCGGCACATCACGCAACTGCAGAACTTATGTGTAATAAAAAACCCATAATAAAATACATGCAGTTAAAATGAATTAATATGCAAAATATATTTAAAAGATTAACAAAACGAAAGAAAAAACTGCGACAAGAAGTAGTTTCGGTTCATTTTTGTGACACTACAAAAATAAGATAACAGAAATTAAACGGAGATGACAGAAAGCAGCATCCTGTTCGTTTTCTTTATTTTACAAAAGCACAATATTTAGTTTGTATTGTGTGTACACAAATAAAATTAATCCCTTTACAGTTTCTAATGATGTTGTAAGACTGGAAAAACTGGAAGAACTGGAAGAGAGGGCAACTCTCAGAGAAAACAAAGGAAATTAACATTTGAACTCTCTCTTGTAAAGTTAGCATCAACATTTGAGACGCAAGTCTCTCACCTCAGAATACATCTCTTCCCCTCTTCCCCCATTCCTTCTCTCTCATGCTGAGATCACCAAAATTCACCCAAAAATCTATATGGTTTAAAGCTGCAGTCCGTAGCTTTTTGGGGGTTAAAAATAATCCAAAATACATATTTGAGAAAATACATAACCAGCCAGTGTTCAAAACTATCTGCTTGCCTTAGCTCGATTCAAAGCGGTAAGCTTGTAATAATGTTTTTAATTCCAGTGGTACTGGTGGATTTCCGCGGGAGATTCGAGCATGTCTTTGCGTCATTACGTCACATCTATACACATAAAGAAGGAGTCTCGGCTAGTATAAGCTATATTGCAGGGGTCTCCAACCTTTTTTCATTTGAGAGCTACTTTTTTTTTTAAAAATGAAAGTGGCCGAGAGCTACTCATGTAATACAATACTTAAATCTCCTAAATAATGTCTCATAACTCATATTAACAGCTATCCAAACTGTTTTAGACCTAAAAGAGTTTTTTAGGCCTATATATGTCACCCTTAAATGTCAGAAAATTTCCTTTCATGATTATAGTGACCAAAATGATCACGGTTATCACAGAATCCTGTTAAAAAAATACTACAAAATAAAATCAATTCACCAAGTTATATGTCGAAAACCAGCAAATAACAAAAAAATAGCATCAATATGCTCTTTTTGTTTAAATAAACATTAAAATAATAACATTAAAAATGATGGCCAGATTTTAAAGGAGTGTCTTGCAACATGTTATCTACTAACATGTACAAGTTCAAATAAAGTTTTGACAAAAAAGGTTTTATAAAAAGATAAACCTCACATATTTCAGCCTTTAAATCATTTTTTATAAAAAGAATGAGTAAAAAAATATAAATTACGGACATTTACAATGCACATTAACTTATCTTTTATTATTAATAGTAAAATTAATGTTGACTGAGCTTTCAATGTTGTTACGGAAAGGGTGAAGCTGATTGGTTGGATCTTGTCACATGACCTGCGGTGCGCTCGCGGCATTCTGAAAAGTTGAGGTGTTTTCATCTCGCTGCGCCTGGAAAAAATGAGCGCGTCGCTTCAATTATGAGCGCGCTTGCCCAAGCGCCTACATTTGAAATAACGAACTTGAGCGCGCAAAAGACGCGATATGTGAACGGCCCCTTGGCGAGCTACTTCCAATCAGGCCACGAGCTACTGGTAGCTCGCGAGCGACGTGTTGGAGACCCCTGCTATATTGCGTGTGAGGATGTTGGAGGTGGAGATTTATAGCCTTTTCTCACATCACTTGATATAATTAAACTTATCAATTTGATGGCGGATCGAGAAAGGTTCAAACGACAATCACCAGTGACAATAGATTCACCCGTTGTAAAATGCTAAATACTTCGTTCGGACTTCGGAGTGGCTAACTTACAGAAAAAAAGAGACTGCAACCGGACCCATGCGAAAACAAGGAGTCTTGTCCAAACGTTTATCCTACCTTATCTCTGCATCCCCCTCTCCCTCTCCCCCTGAGTCAAGTCACCAAAAAGTTCACTAAGAATGCTTATATATCATATATGATGTATCTTGGGAATCTATTGTTTTTTCTTTTCGTGTTTGGCATCATTTTAAGTGTCTCGGTGCGATTGGTAAAATGGTCTTAATTTCATTGCAGTCATTGGTAATATGAGAAAGATTGAGGACTTAGGAGAATCCTGTGTTCCTCTTTGGGTGATGTTTCTTCAAGACATCTCCCCTCTCCCCCAAGACCAGGTGCTACCCCCTGGGGTACAGGAACTGACCCAAAACACACTGGAAAAATATTGGTACAACCCTTTTTCTGGTCTGGGTATTTAAGGCTAGGTAACAGAGCAATCTTTGGGAACTGTAACCAGAAAAAAAACCCATGCAGTAATGTGTCAGTGTTATCCCCTTGGAAAGCTCTCACACACTACTGTGTGTCTCTGTCAGGAATGCATTGCTTACTTTTAGAATCATCTTTGAGTAATTGATGTCATGCATTTATTATTTCTGAATTGGCTTTTAATCATTTACTTGTGAAATTGGCACGGTACATTTTTCCTGACAAAAATAAATGTTAACCTTGATTATTCTGAAGTTTTCTGGAATCATTATTTCTAGTAGATTATGTGTAGTCTGTTGTTCCCGCAAATCTCTGTCCAGGATAGATCACACCTAAGGCACTAATGAATTAGACCTTCTGATTCCTGACTATCTCCTAACTTAGCATGTTGTACGCTGCAACTATTGAGAAAAATTACACCTATGAGTCAGCAGTGAGCGGCCACGTAGGGTAAGATAGTTTGCACTGCACCCTCTGACTATTTTAGGACTGGCTAGTTTGTGATCGTGAGCGCACACTCGCGACGTGACGTCTCAAAGCGACACCAGGTCCTTAATGAACGAATATTTGAAATTATGAAATGGCCAGAATAATCAAAGATCTAAATTAACTCATAATCAGTATTTATGACTGTTTTCTAATAAGAAACACAATCTAAATTTGATTAACATTTGAAATTGGAGTCAGATTAAGCGTAGAGCTAAAGTATTATTTAAACTAAATTCCAATAAATTAAGTGAACTTCACTGGAGCGCTGAAAAGACATACACGCATTATTCCTTCGACCATACCATTGGATTCCGGTGTTGGGCCAATGGGTGGACCTTACAGAGTTTAGAGATAACTTGCACACAGAGGAGGGCGTGTCTTCCAGGCAAATGGCATTCTGCTCCCAAAAGGTCTAAACTCTGAATGCAAATTCCCATTGTTAGCAAATGTTTCTATGTGAAAGAAGTTTCTGTCTATATAAAGAAATGCAACAAGAGGCTCAGAGTCAGGGCGATTTGTAACTCAAATTAGCCTGTAATGCAGAGTGTATGCAGGCACGCAGATTAAACAAATCTGTATGTTACCACAAATTTTGCGTCAGATTAGTGGCGACTAATATTTGGCACTAATTCAAGTGTACGTGGTTCGCAAAGACAAGAAGTGAATTTCCGTTTAGAACAGCAAAAATGCTGCTTGACCAATCTAAATTTGGGTGTGTCTTACCTCGGTTTTAATTTAATGTTACTTTAGATAAGTGTACGTGCAAAACCACGGCATGGCCAATCCAAAGCTATTATAAGAAAGAGTAATGTTGGTCAACTTATATCTGTAATAGTGGCCATACCTCTGCCTGAAGTAAACATTTCAAGTGTATGTAATCACGGGGGCTATACCAAAATATCTTTGATTGTGTAAGCGTGAATGCAACCGATCTCAGATATATAGCAATTACCTCTGTTTGGTTACCAAAACTGATGAGCTTGTGATCGTGAGACCCGTGTTAAGCAGAAGGCGTGAGGACCGTAAAGAGTTAAATAGAACAATCAAATGTATTGCTGAAGTATTATATAATTGACCAATAACCAGTTGGCAATCTAACCTAAATTCGAGGTCGTGATAAAATGGAGTCAGATAAAAGCTTAAATGGAATTAAATTACTTTGCCACGCGGAAAGACAGTAACGTGCAGAGACCTTCACCTGTTCTATTGGATGCCACCATTGGGCCGATCTAGACGGGCTTACAATGTCTTACTCTTAACTTTATGACAAGTTCAAGTTGTTTCCGCTGTAATAAGGAACATATTCAAGTGATCACGCAGGCACATCATGCACACACACACGTTTACTTGGCTATCTAAATGGGGACATTCCATAGACGTAATGGTTTTTATACTGTACAAACTAGGGTTGCACAATTTAATCGCAATTAACATGAAATCACGCTTAAACCG